CCAATGATCATTTTACTGAAATGTATAAAGACTGCAAAGGCTGAAAAATCTTGAAGTCTGTATGAAATTGGAGGTAGTTTGAGGATTAAATTTTTTTTATGGTTTTAAGCTCAAAAAAGCGGGGGTTGTATTATACACGAGATCGTATTATACATAAATAAATACGGTACATAGTATATTTACAATATAGCTCCTGTAAAGTATGATGCCACAATTTAAAGCCCATTATGTTGCAGTGACTTTAGCTTCAGTTTCTTACATAGCTATGATTTAGAGAAAAGAAAAACACAAGTTAGAATAATCTTACCTGAAATGAATATTCAGTTCTCACTGGCTCACAAAAAGTGAAATGTACTTAAGTAAAGCATGTTGAAAATACAAGCTCTAAAGAAAGAACATGCAAGTAATACATCCTGTGTGGGTGGAATATACAAGCATGTCACATCTGGTCCTAATGGATTAAATAGCAGAAGGAGAATATCCACAGATCATTTGTCTTTGGTGTCTAATCAGGATGGTGCAGCAGTTTGGTGTGGACTTTGAAAAATGCATCGAAGGCTCCGGGGACCAGGTGGACACCAATGAGCTGTCGGGTGGTGCCAGGATAAACCGAATCTTCCATGAACGCTTCCCCTTCGAGCTAGTCAAGGTTAGGACAGACATTTACTTCTGTTCATTAATGAGCGTTTGGATTGTTTGGAGTTTTGACAAAGATTTATACACTTGTGAGGCTTTTTAAAGGTTCACCTTGTCTTCTTTGTTCCACAGATTGTGTTTGATGAGAAGGAGTTAAGGAGGGAAATCAGCCATGCAATTAAAAATGTCCACGGCGTCAGGCAAGTAGCATTCAGCTAAAAAAGCTGCCAAATGAGACACTTGAAACAATCTGTTTTATCTGACAATAAATATTGCTTCTTTTTTCTTTTGTCAAAGTTCTACCTCTGCTACATAATTTAAAAATAGTAAATTAGACATCATACACTCTTTAAACTAATTTAAATTGATGTATGTAGAAAATATCATCTGTTAGATGTGAATTATATGTTTTCCATTCTACTGTCTCCTTTAGTCCTTTTAACTGCTAAACCACTCACTCTTTTTCTGTTTCTGTCTAAAGTGTTGCGCTTTTCTGAGGTGTTGTGTAACGTGTATCTTTGTCTTGTGTGTTTGTGTTCTTCAGTGAAGYGGCCCTGTCTGTCAAATTTTATTTGTGGTACATTTATTGTTTACTGTCTATCTTTGGCACTTCATCTTGACTGTCAGTGTTTTATTGTTTTCATTGTTTGAAGACTCAGCTTTCTGCTGTCACATGTTTTTTCATTTTGTCTTGTTGTCTGTATGTTGTTKTTTTTTTTTAAACTCTGACCCATATGTTTGTTAACTGTTCCATCTGTCGGCCGCCGTGCCTTTGTCTTTCTGTGCATCCTCAGAACGGGGCTGTTCACTCCTGACCTGGCGTTTGAGGCCATCGTGAAAAAGCAGGTTGTTAAGCTGAAAACGCCCTGTCTCAAATGTATCGATCTGGTCATTCAGGAACTCATCAACACAGTCAGGCAGTGCACCAACAAGGTACTGCAAGTGTCCAGCATCTCCCGACCCGGCCCGATGCACAAGCTGTAGGCAAACGTGGGTTTGGCAAAGCGCATGCTGTCACGGAACGTTAGCTGCGTCTTGTCCTGTAATATCAGTCGTCAGTTTTAATGTTTTGAAAATGAGAAGTTCTGTGCAGTTTGCCCTTTGCCCAACTCAGGCCCTACGACCTCTGTGTGCAGGCAGCGCTGTCGTGTTGTGGAGTGTTGTGACGGGTGTTGTTGTGGATAAGAGATGTTTTATTGGCTGAGCATCTCTAGTCGCTTCGGGACATGCTGCAGGTTTCACAACTTGGTATATGAAACTATCAAAACTTTATCGTCATCACAAGAGGCGGCTGAAAGCTGTTGCAGACGATGTCCATCTATCATTTTGACCAACTGCTTTACCAAGAAAGAGAAAGTGAAAACCTGGCGGCTTGTCCTCCTCTGTTTGATTTGATTTTCCTTAATTAAAAATGACTAACTAAACAAACTCTTCTCTTTTTATTTCCTCTCCTTCTTCTTCCTTCCTGTTTTCCAAAATTCTCCTGTCTTTATTCGTATCTGTCTGTTTCTGTTCCTCCACAACAAAATGCAAACTGATCCCATGACCTTTCAGAACGGGGCTCTTCACCCCTGACCTGGCTTTTGAGGCGATTGTCAAAAAGCAGATCCTTAAGCTCAAAGAGCCCAGCCTCAAATGTGTGGATCTTGTGGTGTCTGAACTCACTGCAGTCGCCATGAAAAGTGCCATCAAGGTAACAGGGGACACTAATGCTGAAATGTTGCCATAAAAAAAGAAAGAATTCTTTATCATTATAAATGTATACTGCTGCCATTCAAGAACAATTTACTCCTCATCGCCCCAACTTTCATTTGCTACGCTGTTCTTTGATCCTAAATTGTTATGTCCTATCCATGTTTCATTCACTCCAACATTTTAAGCATAGCTTAAAATTTCCACAGCCAGTTTGACCTCATCATTGGTTAGTGTGTTTTTTTTTTTTTAATTTGGATCCCCACCCCCATGCTTCCTCTTTCTCTCCCTGCCTGAAAGCCAGCCTGGTCTGTCTGGGCAGAGCTGAGCTGTTGCACCCTCACAGACCCACAGAGCAGAACGACATTCTGTCATCGGCTGAATTGGGAGGAAAGCTGATGTGAGASTTTGTGCAGAGATGATGCTAGTMATGCATGGGCTCTGTGGAGGCAGCRTTGTAGAGATTTTCCATAAAAGCAGTGCTCCACTACCATCTTGTGGACGAAGGAGAGCACTGCACAGCAAGAAACGCCATAAACCCAGTAAACCTATTTCCTTGCTGCTGCCTTTTCCTCTGCTTCCCTCCTATCTGTTCTCTGTAATCCTCTCTTCACTAACATCGACTATTTTCAAACTGTACTATCAGCCAGTGGTGACTGTTTGAAATGTATTGGCACGTCTTAAATGTGAGTGTTCCTCTGTGAGAAACAAACTATAATCCTGTCTATAAAATATTGGGTCTTTAATGGAGTCATCCCTGGCTGATGGTACACGTCTCAGCGCCATATAGAAGACTCAGTCTGTGTGTTGAAATTGTCTACGTGTGTGTAAGATAGTGATTGTCTGAAAATGTGACACTGAAATGTCACTTGTTTACTCTTTTCTTTGTTTCCTACTTATTTTCACTTCTCACTCCTGTTTTTCTCTGATACTTCTGGTAAGTTTTATTAAGCCAAAGCTGTCGTGTAAGTGCTTGTGCGTATGTGTGTGTATGTATTTCTATGTGTAATGCTGCAGTGACATGTATTATTGTCTTGCAGCTGAATTCCTACCCCAGACTGAGAGAGGAGACGGAGAGGATTGTCACTACCCATGTCAGAGAAAGAGAAGGGAAGACCAAGGATCAGGTTTGTTGCTAGGTTATTAATTTAATAAATGCATGGTTCCTTAGTTTGTACAGCTTCAGAGTAGGCTTTTTTCGCATCTGGCTAAAAGGTTAAGCCCTGGGTCTGTGACATTTTCACCAATAGTCAAAGGTTCAGGGTAGATGCAGGATTGCTCTTACTGACATCTGTTGCTTTTCTGCTGCTGTACAGCCAGCTTCAAAGTATCAACTCTACATTTGTTCAAATTTTAGATTTCTGATTCTTTTTGTGCTTAAATTGAAATGTGTATGAAATTATCAATGTAATATTTAATTGCTGTAAAATACTTTTTTGGTCCTAATTCAATTTTCTTCACCACAGTGACAATTAGGAGGGGATTTTTTTTTTGTTCTTTATAAAAAAAAGATATATTTTCTTCTATATTCTAAGTTCTTTGACCACTGTACCATGCARTGTGACTTTTGTTTCCCCAGCTGAGTGAAGTTGCACAAATGCATTAAATGTTGTTTAAAAATAATGTTATTATGTGAAGCTAGTAGAATTTAAGAGGGATAGTTGAAGTAAAATGTGAGCTAAACCCCAAAGTTCCCAATAATCTCCAAAGCACATTTTGCTGYTGTAAGGTGTCATCATCCGCTTTTGTGCATCTTTGTTGTAAAAGTTTAAATCACTTCAGTGTCACTTTTGCAAATGACATTTCAAGCTCTTAAAGACTTTTCCAATGAAGGTCCAAGGTGTTGCCCACACACAGATTTTTACAAGTACGCAGTTAATGTGTCAGTGSTTTTTATGTTTATCTGTTGACGTCATCCATCTCGATTCCCAGCAGAGCCCATTAAAATATACAGTATTTCTTTAGTTCAGATTTATTCCAGACCTCCTTCGACCTTTATCATAAATTACTAAGCCAAGAAAGTTAAATCATGCATTAAGACTCTTTGCAATAGACCTGAGTTATTTAAAAATATTCTGTTTATTGAACAGGCTCCGTTGTACAGTTTCAGAAAGAGAAATATTAATCACGACTGAAAACAGAAAGAAGCTGAGTTTCCGAGATTCTTATCTCCTTGCTTGAGATAAGTGCATGATCACAATGTATGCAAACATTTCCATCTTCCTGCTTTAGTTTATGACTACCTTAGGCACTTAGATATAATCTGAGCTAAAATGTTTGCAGTTTTTTTGTGTTGTCTCGGTGTAACAGCTTGCATCTTTGGAACTAGAGGTAACTCATTCCAAGATGTGAAATGAAAGAGAACTGATTGACAAACATCACATCTCAGTTCAAATAATTAAACTTTAATAAGATTTTCTGGAAACCTAATGCAATATTTCAGAGTTTAAATATAAGTAGCAGTACTTAAATTATATGTTCAAGTAAAATGTTTTAAACTCTAAACGCTTCAATCTGCAGTCAGTATTACCCTTTCAGTAATCAGCATTGCTTTGAATATTTCGTGTAATATAAATTGCGAGACTAGCCACTCTGCCGCCTGACAGAATTATTTATTCCCAACGTGCCCACCTTAATCACATTTTTCTGCCTCGAAGGTTCTGCTACTGATTGACATTGAGCTGTCCTACATCAACACAAACCACGAGGACTTCATAGGCTTTGCCAAGTACGTATTCTTCCTCAGTCCAGTATTTCTCTTGCTGCCGTGACCCCGGTTTAACTCATTAGGTTTCTGTTCAGCTGCATTTGTGGATCTTTAGTGTTCAGACTTGTGAGTGTTCTGCTCTGAGCCATGGTTTCATATGCAGCTCGACTGGCCTTTCAGAAACTGAAGTAACGCTTTGCTTCTACCAATCAGCGTTCCMTATAATTACACACGTTGCAGACCTGCAGTGTGTTGGTGATATTAAGCATGACAGATTTCGATCCTGCCATATCAGAGCACGTCTCCTGTTTGGGAAGGTGAATCCCACAATCATCAAGTTTACATGAGTAACTTGCATGAAACATTATCACCTTCCTTTAAACTAAAGCAGTCAGGCATGCTTGGTTGCTTAAAAATATGTGCCCAGTTGCTGCAGCGTGTTGCTACAAAGCATGTTTATTGTACCCCAAAAAAAAAAAAACAAGAGCAGTGCTTGTGATATTTTACCTGTAGCAGCTTTGCTCTGGAAACTTATTTGCACCCAGCAAAGCGATTTTTTTATAGTATATCTGGAAACGGTCTAGAATTTGCGTGTAGTTTCGTGTGCTTCCTGTTGTCACAGTTATAGTAAACTATAGTTGAATGGAGCCCCAATCTGGTGTGGATTTTGGCATTGACTGATTAACAAATAAGCCTTTGTGTGAGCATGTGTCAGGGTTTATGTCTTGCCTCTGCATGGCAAGTGGATTGACWTAACAAGACAGAGATCAGCCAGGGGTTTTTAATGGTTCTCATGACGTCACTTTCAGTCTTGACTACAGAAGGCTGGATGATGGTAGTTCCCCAGGGTACAGCAACAACAGGTGGGCATAAAGAAAAGAGTGAGAGTTTTGTGTTTTTTAAGTCTAAGAYGGCTGGAACCATAAAATCTACTTTAGTATTCATGTATTTTTGTTGTGGTGTAATAAATTGACACCTACAACCTGGCAACTATGCTTTTCTTAAGCCAAAAAATAAGGAGTAAATAGATTTAAAAAGCAACACATTATTAAAAGGCTAAACATTTTCATTGAGTTGTGTTTGGTGTGGCATCATAATTTATTTTTCCTCTCCGTCTTTGTGTAATGAYAGTGCTCAGCAGAGAAACGTTGCTACAAACAAGAAGAGGCCCATGTCCAACCAGGTAGGTTTGATCACTCAGCTCTGGTCTTTTCACAGGTCCCCAGTTTAATCATCTTTTACTGATACACCAGTTACAATCCTATTAATCAACTCTGTGAACATACCTTGACCATTGATCTACTTCTTCCTGTCTAATTGTTAATTGTATCCCCAGATTATAGCTATTAAATACACTGTCTGTCTTTTTTATGATACTYAATCTTTAGCTGTTTGATTTTTCTCTGTAATATTTTAGAGCTGGTACCTCTCCTTTCCATTTTATTCATGTTGATATTTAGTCCAGTGTTTTATTTAAGTGTGTTTTTATTGTCCCTAAACATACACTCGTGTACAGTTTTTAAATACATCAAAATACTTTATAGTTTCTATTAGAGGAGAGTTACCGTAGTGATTTTAAGCAAAACCCTCATCGCTGCTTTTTGAAACAATCACTCGTTTTCGCAGCTGTTTGCATGTTACCCAAGCATGCTACTTTAAAGCACAAAAACAATCACATGGTTTATGTTGATTGTTGTGCTTCCCCATTAACTCACAAGCATTTTCAAATTTAAATTTAGCATATGCATGGACATTGCACCAATCAGCTGAGCTATAAATATGACTTAACCAAATTGTAATGTACATGAAATAATTGTAATTGCATGTAACTCTTGCTCTGTCTCTCTGTATCTCTCTCCTCTTTTCATCTGGCTTTTGTTACCTCTTGTTTTCTTTTTTTTTATTCTTTCAAATTTCTTCTTTAAACCCCTTATTTTCAACTTTTCCTTTATCTCGTTTACTACTTCATTTTTTATTTTCCTTATAAACTATCACTCCTTATTTTTTTTGCTCTTTCTTTCCCATTCAACTCTACTTTCTGGCATTCTCATTTATCTTGGCTTTGGATATATGCTACCCCCTTTGCCTTAAACCCACTTCCCTTCCTATTACTGCAGGGTGAGATTCTGGTAAGTACCCCACAGATTTAACCCACACCCTACCAGGGGCAGCAGAGGTAGGCATAGCAGAAGAACTGAGGCCGTGTTACAAATTGGGTATTAAGAATATCTGGTCAGGTATACCAGACTTATGGTAGGCTCCTGTATATTCAAAGTGATACCTTCACTTTAATGAGTTGTTTTAACCCTTCTGCAGCTTGGCGAGCTCGCAGAGGTCCAAGAGGAAAAGGTAGAGTCTCCGGACTTACCAAAGTTGTTTCAGTTGCACCGTAATTCAAGCACCAGTGCACAATTTCCAGTAATTTGGATTGTATTACATTAACACTAAACAATTTCTGATTGTTTTATTAAGGCAGTAATTGCCAGTAATTCTACTAACATTTTTCCACTATATTTTGGATAGACTGTAAAAACTGTATTTTGCCACAAAAAAGGACGACAAAGGGAAAAAAAAGAGAAGCTCTCCCTTCAATGATGGTGTCAGTTCTCCTGTCGTTTGTGTGTACCTCTGCTGCAGCCTCATGCAGGGTGATTCAAATGTTTGCTTCGTGAGAACCGTCCTAAAAGTCACTGGGGACAAAATGGGGAAGGGTGGAGCAATCAAATTAGCAAGGACAATACTATTTGTTTATGTATGTATTTATTGCATGCATTTTCACATTTAATTTATGTTAAAATATATTATGAGGAGAAAATAAGAAAAATATTTTTTAATATATTGAGAATCTAATTAAAGTTGTCAGAATGTTTCATCATGATTTCTGATGATTATTTGATTTGACTTCTGCCTCCATCCTCCATGCATCATTCTAACTCCAAACATTTGTAGTTCATGCAAATTGTCTTTAATTTAATATGGTGACAGCAGGTCATGCCTTTGGGATGAATATTAGTGCTTGGAACTAAATTCCTTCTCAACATTTCTTCTTTGTTGCTAATATCTGTCATGGAAATTTTCAAAAAGCAGACTTATCTCCAATCAAATGCTTGTCTTTTTTGGTGTTGATCTCAGATGTGATCTAACAGCTTCTATTATCTAACAAATATTCAATTAATCAGTCAAACTTTATTTCTATAGCACCTTTCATACAAGTCCAATGCAATATTGGGACTGAACGTTTGAACTGTTTGCTGGAAGAAACAAAAGCATCTCTTATGTGACACTCCTAATAAAGAAAGAAAAAACAATATTTTCCACCATCTTTATTGAAGTTGTCACGTTTCAAGTCATTAATTTATCAGAGCAAATCATACTTTCCCCAAAGTGACTGACTCAGCTCAGCCTTTTAGGCTGAAATAGTTTCTCTGATCCCCACGTGTTGATTTGTGTCTGTCTCTAAAACTAACAGTCAGTCCTATAGTTTCTGCATTTAATCTGTTCCATTGTAGCCGTCTAACATTAACACRCCACCGTCGACCCCTTTGTTTCTGTATTAGTGCAAACAAGCCCAGACGCCATCTCATACTGTTTGTTGGTTTAATGAATTTTGTTCTGTTTATTAAATGGTGACCATTCATTATTTTTAACACCATTTCAACTCATCCTCTGATCCTTTTTTTAAATTAAATTGATCCCAATAACACAGTACAGTTGTGGCCAAGTGTTTAGAGAATGACACAAAGAAAATTTGTCACAAAGTTTGCTGCCACAGCATTTTTAGAGCTTTTTGTAATGTTTCAGTGATATACCAAAGTTTGAATTCTGGACTACAGGCACATTTCCAAAATACAATTTACATGAGCAAACTTTGTGGCATTAATATTTGTAGCATTTTCAAAACCTTTGACTATACCTTTTATATTTTGCTACGCATGTATCAATGACCTTTGATTATTACATTTTTACTTTTAATGTTTAGTCTGGGCTTCTGTCATGTGAGGTCTTAAGTAATTGTAAACTCACAGATGTAAATCATTTAACTTTGAAATGTAAAGGTGAGCTAAGCTAACCTTGCAGGTAAGTGGGGTAAGACTTTATCTGTCTGTCAAAATCCTGGGATGGGGCTCACATTTCTACAGTGCACGAGCCTAATTGTTAATGTTCCTTATCCCCCTGCAAATTTTGGTGTCTCCCACACATCATCCTCACTCTATAGGTTATCAGGAAAGGCTGGCTAACGCTCCATCTCGGCATCATGAAAGGAGGCTCCAAAGACTTCTGGTTTGTCTTGACAGCTGAATCCCTCTCCTGGTACAAAGATGAGGAGGTGAGAGGAATTTCTGTTTTTACAAGCTTATATTTGTCATAATATAATTGGATATGCCTGGCTGAAAGAAAAAAGACAGCCCAGGAATAAAAAAAATGATACTGTTGATGTACTAAAAGGAGATTTGATGCCGATTCCATCTGAGACAGGTGATGTGCATCCCAGCCTAACCTAACCAATGTGCAGACTACTGTTCAGCTGTAGCTTTAGGAACAGGTAGTCTGAACACTGGGCAGGCTGGGTGGGGGTGAGAAGGACTCTGGGAGGAAGAACCCAGAGGTCATTGAGTCTGCAGGTCGCTACCCTGGGACTGTAGGACAGAGAACACATAATGTAAATAGTACCACAAGAAGCAATTATACTAATAAAAAGTCACGTACAGTTTAACCAATGGTATACCACGACAATACGTTTGTTTTTATAAATATACAACATCTTGAATGAGGCCTGGTACAGCAGTTATAATCTTTAAAATGTGATTCATATCTCAGTGAAAAATAACTCCTGAAAATCTGTAATTGCTAAAAACCTAAAATAAGCAACCTGGTAATGTCGATAAAGTCACAAAAAAGAAAATGTAGGTTAGCCGCACTGATCGTATGTCTTGAGTAAAATCTAAAATCATTATATTTATTTGTCTTACTCACCAATTGTTTCCTTTTAGGCCTCAGCTGTTTCTGTTCTTCCATCAAAAAAAGGACTTAGAAAATGCAGCCGCAAATCAAAAGAAAACAAACAACAGAACCGTCTTAGTTTGCCAAAAGACAAAATGGATTATTCCATTTTTTACGCCTTTTTTAGTAAAGGCAAAGCGAAAGAATGAGCGTAGTACGATTGTGTAGGAAAACTGACGTGGCAAGGCGAGTTGAAATGCTCCAGCCAGGATCTGACTTTGGAATTTGCAGGAAATCGTACTGGGTTACGGGGGCCAAAAGGGAGGGGGCGATTGTGTGTACAAGTGTGCATGTGTGTCGGCTCGTGTCCGCGCACATCTCACTGGGTGTTTAGGAAGTTGAACACAACTTTACAAGTGTATTTTTGTTTTATGTTTCGACTTCTTTCAGGGAAGTGTGTTTTTGTTTGTCTCTGCACACGTAGTTAAGGATTTACTTCTTTCTGTATGTGGATGAGGGGTTTTGTTGGGGATTTTGCAGAGCTGCGAGTGATGTAACTGTTGGGCCTGAGCCGCTCTGTGTTAGTGCAGATGTAAACGCTTCCAGATGTCTCAGCTCAACAGTGAAAGCTGGCACCCCCCCACCCCGAGAACTCCCTCGTGCTCCTCCTTTTCTTTCTTTCCTCCTCCTCGGCTTCATCACGCACTTTTCAGTCTCGCTCGCCTGGTGGTCGTCCACACAGAGGAAATGCATTCTTTCACGTTTGCTCATTAATGACAAAGCAATGAGATCTTGTTTTTAATCTAAATACTGTTGGTCTGTTAATGCAGTAGTTTAAAATACCTGCTGATAATTTTAGTTTATTAGTTCAATTTGAGTGACAGAATCAGTCTGATGAAAAAGAATTAAAAAAACATACAAAACGTTCAATCATCTTAAGTTTAAGCTGGAATCAGAAAAACACACTAACCAAACAAGAAAAACTATGACCCTCTTTTCCAAAACCAATAAAGGTCACTGTAATGTATGCAAGACACTTTGAATGTTGCTGAAAGGTTTATTGGATATGTTTGATCAGGCTTTATTTAAAAMATCCTTCAGTTGTTTGTTTTTCTGGAAAACCAGCTGTAAAACAGTATCTTGTAGTTTAAAAAGATTCGGTAATGTTTGGATTTACCGGTAATCATTTTAAAGGAAGCACAAATACCCTTTCCCTAAACATGTCAGAGTTCTGATTTATCTTTCTTGTGACGTGCTCTCATTTTATCACATTTAACCTTTTGTTGTCTTACTCAAGGAAAAAGAAAAGAAATACATGCTGCCCCTGGACAACCTGAAGCTCAGAGATGTTGAGACAAGATTCATGTCCACAAAGCACATATTTGCAATCTTCAATACTGAGCAGAGGTCAGGGCTGCGTTGTTTATTAGACACTTTTGTTGACCTTGGTGAATGCACATCTATTGCCTGTTATTGATTTTTGTCTGCATGCATGTCCTTGTGTGCTGGAGGAAGCCTACGATCACCAACCTACATTTCTTTTGTTTACTGTGTCCGTACAGAAATGTGTACAAGGATTTTCGCCAAATAGAACTGGCCTGTGATTCTCAGGAGGATGTGGACAGCTGGAAAGCATCCTTCCTCAGGGCAGGGGTTTATCCTGAGAAAGACCAGGTATGAATAACAAGTCAAAAGCGTTGCAGAGCTCATGTCCTCATTAAAACATGTTCTCAAAGTGGGGTTTTGTGCAAAATTGACCTTTTTTAAGCTTTAAACCATGTTCTAATGTCCTTCCCTCATCAAAAACGTACCCAGTGTTGCTTTGTTTCATTTATGCATGTTTGAGAAATCCTTGGATCTCCTGAAGTAGCCATGTGGAGCTGCCTAAATGCTTGCTGATTCAAAGCTCCGCCCATTTGTACATAACTCCTCCCAGGAGCTCAGTCCCCAGCCAAGCTCCCGCCCCACAGAACACCCCCTCCCCTGAAGCATTGTTCGAAAACATGCTGAAGTGGGAGTGTCTGAAATGGTAGGAGGCTCTTAAAACAACAAAGGCCAATTTCAAGGAAATTAGCTGTGATGCGAAGTCAAWTTTTTTATATGTAACAACTGAAGGTAAGAATTACATGATTGTGGCATCAAATTGAATTTTGTGCCTGAAAAATAAATAATAACCTCTATTTAACGCATGGATAAGAGAATAAATTAAGAAATTTGTGACTGTCGTAGGCATAGATTGTTTCTGTTCTGTTAGAATTAAGCAATGAGGCAGGAAGTATAAMAAGATTTATTTCAACAAGTGGTGATCCATTTCAGGCAAAAGGTGTAAAATAGCTTAAATCTGTTTCACAAAAGTTTGTGGAACAGAAAGGATTTTAATAACACTTTCTTTTCTCATACTTTCGTCTTAGAGGCGCTGACCCAATTCTGCTTCTACAAAGAAACTAGAGATGTGTGATGATCAGTATTTATTCCTCATGTTTCTTGTTTGTTGATGTGTTTGTTGTCGTTCCTAAGGTGGAGAACGAAGAGCCTTCCCCTGCAGACACATTCTCCATGGATCCACAGTTGGAGCGGCAGGTGGAAACGATTCGCAACCTGGTGGATTCATACGTCTGCATCATCAACAAAACCATCAAAGATCTTTTGCCCAAAACGATCATGCATCTTATGATCAACAACGTGAGTCAAGCACCTGCAGCACCAGAAGGAAGTCATTATTCCTGCCTGGCTTCTGTTTTTTCAGTTGTACTTCAGGCTTTTTATGGAACACAATAAGTAGAAGATTTGTTCTAAACTGGAAGTATTCTGACTGAAATGTTGAGAGAGAAGCAGTTTTAAAATGTATGAAAGGAAACAACTTTTCTTCAAAAAGACATTTATCACATCTTATTTATTTTTATATAGAATAATGCTGTAACATGACAAAAAGAACAAGACAAACTCTGACAGTTTTACATCACGGTTTTGCTTTGCTACATCTTGAATTGAGTTTTCTGTCAGTTTGTTTTGGAGAGATGCAGAAAATAGTGCGGACACCTCCTGTGTGAAATTGGACAAATATAGTTCCTGAAAAACTGTTCAACCATCAGAAAATAAATCCAAGGAGACAGTGTTTGTCCTGAACATACTACAGCATCACTGTGAACAGCATTTTATTTACCTTGTAGTGTGCACCACAGCAGAACTGGGCAGATCGAGTTCCTCTGCTCAGAATAGATACATCCTGAACTCTGACAGCAGCTATTGTTTCAGTCTGAACACTATAAATAGGAGTCTATTCTGGGGCTGGTCTGCTGCATGCACATACTAATTAAACAAACAACTTATATGCACTTCTGTATTATTCTAAATATATGTTGCTACATGTAGCAACCTCTGGTGCTAAAACAAATGAAGATATTGTTAGCATCAGAATCGGTAAAATGTAATAAAACTTACTGCTAGGCATTCTATGGGCGAGGCTGCCTTGACAGATTCATGTGTTTCAGATCCAGTAGGTGGCATCATGATTGCTGCTTCTCTACAGAATTCATGAGCAAAACCACATATTTGATTTAAAATATTAGTGATGTCGATGCAAGAAAGAGCTTTAAACAGACCTGTTTTTATTTCTGGTTCTTTTTCACAGCACGGTTGGTTTTGTATTTCATGTTGACACTAGGTTGTAAAGTTAAAGATGGTAATAAAAACATTATATATGATGCTCATAGTGACTTTTCAGACACCCCTTTATTAAGCTTTAATATTCCAGTTGGCTCACTTGATATCTCCCTGCAGTTTGGCAGCTTCTATTTACTCATTCCTATTTACACTTAACACACAACACAATGCTATTATGAATTTTTTTTAAATATATAGCATTAAAGATTTTTCTTCCCTCTGTGCAGTCAAAGGACTTCATTCACTCAGAGCTGCTGGCTTATCTTTACTCATCTGGGGACCAAAACAGCCTCATGGAGGAGTCAGCTGACCAGGCTCAGCGCAGAGACGAAATGTTGCGCATGTATCATGCRCTCAAGGAAGCACTGAACATTATTGGTGACATCAGCGCCAACACAATCTCCACCCCAGTTCCACCACCTGTAAACGATACCTGGATCCCAGAATCCAGGTAAGATCAAACTAAGTTGTGTTTGTATGATTTTTGTGCATGTTTGATTAATTCAAGGATTTCTGTCTCTCAAGCCCAACCCCTCAGCACAGACCGCCTCCTGCAGCAACCCAGCCCCCCAGTCGTCCACCTGCTGTTAGGGGCCCAACACCAGGGCCGCCTATGAACCCCAGCCCTGCCTTTGGAGCTCCGCTCAATCCCTCTCCCGCCTTCGGTGCACCCCCTATCCCCTCTCGGCCCGGCCCACCTGCCAATGCCTTCAACAGCGGTCAGGATCCCTTCAGCGCACCCCCACAGATCCCCTCCCGACCAGCCCGTGTCCCACCCGGTGTGCCCAGGTATGACCTCCCTTTATAACATGACGTCCCATTTCAGTAGGTTCTGTAAAAGTGTAATTTAAACCTTTTCTTCCAACATCTCATCGTCCTTCCTGTAGAACGTTAGCATGTTGTTATTTTCTCAACATTTCATTTCACTGATATTTTTAAGTCATTTTCTTTAAAGCGATCCCTGATTAGTTGTAACATCAGACTTTGTTTGATAAACATTTATTTTAACTGTAAAATAAAGACTGTAAAATACTGTAGGCTGTTTAGTTTTGTAAATTTTTAAAAATATTTTTTAACACAGACTGAGCCATTTTATTTACACACAAAGCATTCTGGGTAAATGATGACGTGGATAGGTCCTCGGTGTGAGCAAGCTATATCCACCCTGAAGGTTAATCTTGGACAATATCTGACGGTTGACTCTTTTAAATGAAACCAGAGAGCGTTGACAGAGAGGAGAAGGTAGAAATGACTCGGACTGTAACTGAAAATATAGATGGAGGACAACAGAGCTGCTTCATGGAAGAAGAACCTCAGCTTAGCCTGTTAGCATTTGCGCTAGCACCGACACTATTGCCTTATATGTATTAGCTCGACGCTAGCACGACAAACAAACAAGCTAAACTGAGGTCCTCCATCCATATTTTCAGTTGCAGCTGAGTCATTTTTGCCTTCCCCTCTCCGTCATATGGATGGAGGACCTCAGTGACGAGAGGAGAATGTGTAGCGCTGAGCTAATACATATATATGGTGATAGTGTTGAGGCTAAAGCTAACAGGCTAAGCTGAGGTTCTTCTTCCATGAAGCAGCTCTGTTGTTCTCCATCTATATTTTCAGTTACAGGCTGAGTCATTTCTACCTTCTCCTCTCTGTCAACGCTCTCTGGTTTCATTTAAAAGAGTCRATCRTCARATATTGTCMAAGATTAACCTTCAKGGTGGATATAGCTCGCTAGCAGCCTCGCACCGAAGACCCATCATCATTTACCCAGAAAGCTTTGTGTAAATAAAATGGCCCTACCTGTGAAATATATCTTTAAACTTTTAGTTTAAAAATTATAAAAACTAAACAGGCTACAGTATTTTTACAGTCTTTATTTTACAGTTAAAATATATGTTTATCAAATAAAGTCTAATGTTACAACTAATCATGGATCCCTTTAAATTCTTGGTTTCCTCTTCCTCACTTCCTGTCCCTGCCCTCCTGTGTTTTCTCTCCTCGGGTTGTTTGTCTTCATTGCTGTCTCTTTGTGAGCACGTCTCACTCCTTGTTCTCCATCTTCTCTCCTTGTTGCAGCCGAAGACCACCTGGTGCTCCGTCTCACCGGCCCACCATTATACGTCCTGCAGAGCCTTCCTTGCTAGACTAGACCCTTGGTCCACCTAGGCATTCGTTTGCGTGCAAATGTGTGCATCTGCACGGGGGGTGGCTCGAGGGGAGGGGCTGACTTAATGACATGTGAAGTGCATCGCCTAGCATTGAGCGGTTTATTCAGGGCAATGTTAATAAGTTGCTAATACTTTCTATATTAATGCACAGGACAGAGAAAGCCCCTAACCACTTGAATATTATAATTGACTGCCGTAGAATACAAAGTAAAGCCCAGCACATGTGTGTGATCAGTCCACCTCTAACAGCAGGACGTAATTTATCAAAATAAGTTCAAGGTTTAAATAAAATGTCATAAAGTTACTTGTTTATTATTGTTTTATGAAATGGTTACCAGCATTACATTTCATGCATTATATAACTTATTAACTGGTACAGGCTGGCTCTTATCTCTTTTTCCTCACTCCTCTTTAGATTTCTGTATAAAACACCTCTAAACTTCTGATGTTATGCTGGGTTTCTGCATATCACTTGATTTTATACTGAAAACCATTATCATCATTATTACTACGGTTGTTTTGGTGGTGTTGAGTTCTTTTCTCCCTTGAACCTTCCTTGAGTAACTGTACTTTTTAATGATCATTATAAATTACAGCTTTAAAACATTTTTTTTGCAATAGAGGCAAAGCATACAAACATAAAGAAAAGGGTCCATGACATTTACCGTTTTCCTTCCTCTCAGAATTATTCTTGCAGAATGAAAAGATGTCAGCTAGACTGACCTTTTCTAATCCAAGCACTTCTAACCGTTTAGCCTTACAGAACTCAGAACAGGGTTATTGTAGTCTGTTGCTAGAACTCTATGCACAAACGCCCACAAGAGGGGAAAAAACAGTTGGACTGAAGTCTGTCTGCACTTTGCTGGAAGCTTTTACCATGAATTCAGAGATGCTAATGGATGCCTATAAATCCCTTCWGCTCAGTCCCAGTGAGGGTCACAGTCTTTGATTAGACTTTAATTCTTAGATTAGCTGATTTAAATGGAGCACACAGGACAGATTTGTCTTTAAGGGGATGGTGATGCTGCAGGGTGATGAGGCGAGGACCGATCTGGGTTTTAAGAGTAGAAAGATGGAACTAGGTATAGATGTCGATCCTCTCCGGGCTTTTCAAGAAAATTTGTTATTCTAGTTATCAGTTTTACTTCCATGTGTTTAAAGTATCATTGTATATAGCTGGCTTGTACTGAGGAGTTTCATATCGTCATAGGGCTCATAACAAATACATGCTATTATTAACCATAATGGGTGCAGCTCATGTAAAAAAGCAACTATAGTATTCAAATGAAAGGCAAATTAAAAATGTCATTTGATTTATAAAAGATATTTCAGTTCCTCATTCATTATTTATAACCAGGGCATTTGTCATTTCTTTGTTTTTGGTTGCAGTTGTAACGGCTCGGTACATTTTCCTCTTTGCTTCTCTTGGACTTTTCATTTTGCATCTGGTGGTGGGAGCGCTGCTTGTTCTTTACTTTTTATTTGATGAATATTATTGTTTTTGCTCCTTGGAGT